GGCAGGAGGAGGAGGAGGAAGGAGGAGGAGGAGGCAGGAGGAAGGAGGAGGAGGAAGGAGGAGGAGGAGGGAGGAGGAGGAGGAGGGTGCGCACGGGCCGCGACCGGGCGAACACCCGGGGAAAACCCCGCCGCAGCGCACGAGGCGCGCCGGCGGGGCCTCCACGGGCGGGGGGGCGGGGCGAGAACCCGGGACGCCCACCCGATTACTCAGGAGCTGAGTGGGAACTCCTGAGTGCGTGCGCTGCCTGGGGAGCAGACGACGACGACGACGAAAACGAAGACGACGACGACGACGACGACGACGACGACGACGACGACGACGACGACGACGACGAAAACGACGACGACGACGACGAAAACGAAGACGACGACGACGAAAACGAAGACGCGACGACGACGGCGGCGGAGGCGGCGGAGGCGGCGGCGCGCGCAGGCACGGCGCTCCTTTTTCTGGGCATCCGCGGGCGCCGGCGCGTCGGGGGAGCCGCTCGCGCTTGTCCACGCGGGCAACGGTGTTGCAATTCATCCTCCCTCCGAATTCTCGATTCATAGGTCCCTAGAAAAGTTCATTCATCTTTACTGAGGCGGAGGCCCTGTTGGAAGATCGCCGTCTGAAAATCCTGAACCGTGCCAGAACACCACCACCGGGACTTTAACGCCGCGAACTAACGTTACAGTTACGTCCAAACGATCATGAGCCGTACCAGAACACCCATTCCTAGGACTTCAACACTGCAAATCAACGTTACGGTTGGGCCCTGACAGCCCAGCATCGTGTCAAAACATCTGGGACGTCAACCAGAAAAATCCTCGAAACAGCTGTGAACTCTTAAGACGAGTGTGCGCGGCGATGAGGCGAGAGCCGCACGGTAAAAAGAAATATCACCCTCCATCCGTGCAACTCCTGCAAACTTGTAAAACGAATGCGCGAGGCTACGGCGAGATCCACGTTGTGAAAACGACCTGGTCTCTGTCCGGGATATTCTGACAAACTTGTAAAGCGAATGCGCGCGGCGCTGAGGCGAGAGCCACATTTTGAAAACGGCCCGCCTCCATCAGTGAAACCGTTGCAAGGTCCAAGCGTCACGATCAGAGGCGGTGGGGAAGTCTGATGCGAAACGCCCAGCCTGCCATACTGACACGTCTCGGGGTGTGACGGGAAGGAATCATTTTCGAAGGAAAAGGGATGAAGAAGGAGGAGGGGGCGAAGGAGGACAAGATTCAACCCAGGATTCAATACACCCTGCCTTCCCAAGCCCCCTCCTCATCAGCCACCCTTGAAAGACTAGGCTTTCCCTGGGACCAGCTTTTCCTCCCGACAGCCCTGGGGCCCATGAAGAGAAGCAGGAGACCGAAAGGCGAAGACGACCCTCACGGACCCTGTTCCTCCAGGGTATCTAGCCAGAAACTATCATCAATGATTATGTTTAGGTCGGGCCTGTCCCCCTACAGGGGGATTTCGAGCGAAACCAAAAAAAACAATGAACAAGAATAGCCAAAAATCGTCCCCATGCTATTTCCCTACCTAGGCTCTGCCTAGAAGGGTTCGAACTCGGTGTGCTTAAAGGGCCGGGCAGTGGACTACGCCCCGGGCGGTTCCCCCAGGATCCGCCCCGCGGTTCCCCCAGGATTCCCCGCTTTGCCTAGCCTAGCTTAGCTTAGCTTAGCTAGGCTTAGCTTAGCTTAGCTTAGCTTGGCTTGGCTTGGCTTAGCTTAGCTTAGTTTAGCTTAGTTTACCTTTGCTTGGTTTAGCTTAGCTTAGCTTAGCTTGGCTTGGCTTAGCTTAACTTAGCTTAGCGCAGCATAGCGCAGCGAAGCATTAGACCAGCATAGCATAGCATAGCCATGCATAGCGTAGCATAGCATATCATAGCATAGCTCAGCATCGCATAGCATATCATGTCATAGAATTGCTTAGCATAACACAGCGCGGCATAGCATATCATAGCACATCATAACATAGCATAGCAAAGCGCATAATATCATAGCATAGCATCGCATATCGCAGCATATCATATCATAGTATAGCCTATCATAGCATAGCATAGCGCAGCATAACATAACATAATATAGCATAGCGCAGCATAGCATAGCATATCATAGCGAAACATAGCTTTGCTTACCTTAGTTTAGCTCAGCGCAGTGCAGCACAGCGCAGCGTTAGCACAGCATTAGCACACCATTAGCACAGCATAGCATAGCATAGCCAATCATAGCATAGCATAGCATAGCATAGCATGCAAAGCAAAAGCAACACCAATGCGAAATTGTAGATGTAGATGTATATGTAGGTGTAGGTGTAGATGTGGATGTAGGTGTATATGTATATGTAGATGTAGATGTAGGTGTAGATGTAGGTGTGGATGTAGATGTAGGTGTGAGTCTCGCTGTTGATGTTGATGTAGATGTAGATGCAGGTGCAGATGTTAATGTAGCTGTCGGTGTAGATGTAGATATTGCTTTCCTAGATGCTCCAACTCCTAGGTAGGGTCGCACTGGGACAATGTTTGACTATTTTTGAACATTCCTCCTGTGGGGGGACAGGCCCGACTTACGACTATGTTCATTCCGCAGCCCCAGAACTCCCGACTCATTTTGCGTCCTGGATCGATCCACCCTGGGGCCCGACAGTGGCCCCCAGACGTCGAACTGAAGCGAAAACGCCAGGATAGACCGGGCCATACCGTCGGAGGTCAGAGTCTCACCATCGTCGTCGTCGACATCGCATCGTCCCCATCTCCACTGTCATCGCCATCGGCATCAGCGTCATCACCACTGCCATCGCCACCGTCGTTGGCGTTGCGGTATCGCCCCCACCGTTTCGGGATCCTGGGGACGGACTTGTCTGCGCGTTTGAGTTCCACGCGCCCGTACGCTCGTTCAGATCATGGCCATATATATATATATATATGGATACAGCAGATGTGCAATACACATGTACATACATACATATATTATATACATGTGTTCGTGCATGTATGTGTGTATGCATGCATGCATGTATGTATGCATGCCTATGTATGTATGTGAGTTTGGGCGAACAGCTACGGGTGAGAGCGTGAAATGTCTGAGCGAGCAGCGGAGTTGAGTACTTCAGGACGGTCAGCACAAAACGCTCCAGCAATCGCCCCCGGACCTCTCCCAGGGTGCGTTCGAGCCAGAACTCCCGGGGGCATGCTCTGGCCGTGGCGGCGCGGCGCCGCCTGGAGGCCCGCAGGACAACACCACAAAACTTACGTCGGGCTTGTCCCCCTGCAGGGGCATTTTGTGCGAAAAATAAGAACTACTCGAAAAATACCCCCCACATGCTCAAAAATACTAAACAAATCGTCACCAGACTATTTTTTACTATTTTTGAATGTTCCTCCAGTAGAGGGACAGGCCCGACTTAACCCAAAACCCCTCGAGCCTCGATCATTGGACGCCGCTTGCTACGTGCCGCTCCGGAAACCCTCGAGCCTCGATCCTTGGACGCCGTTTGCAGTGTGCTGAGCTCCCGGGCATCCGACGATGGTGTTTCTCCATCCGCGGCCCTGCCCTGGGATCCTGGCGCCGCAGTGCCTTCGCAGCGGGCGGTTTCGCCACATCTCTGGCCCCGGGACTCTCGTGGGTCGATCCGGCTCGACAAGTGCAGCGGATCGACAATGTCCGGGGCTCCGGCCGAAGTTCTTTTTGGCGACGCCGCAAGTTGTTCGTGACGTTGGATCTCACGGCGCGGCGCCTCTCAGGCGGCGCCTCGTGCGACCTGACAGGCTGAGCCACGGAGCGCGCCGCGGGCGTGGGTGGCGGAGGCTGCCCGGCGCGCACCTCCGGTGGCGGCAAGCTGGGCACCCAGGCCCCCTCCGACATGATCTGCTCGAGCCGCGGCCCCAGAATCCGAGCATGTGTCAGACGGCCCAAGAGGGCCCCGAGCCTCGAAGATGCGCCGTAGAGAGGCCCCTCGAGAAGCCCACGCGATGCCTCCGAGCTGTTTCCAAACCGCTCGCGTTTGAACAAGCGCGCTGGGGCGAAAGCGTCCTTCTGACAGCGGGATCGTCCCGGATCGGCGGCACTGGCTGGAGGCCTCTACAATATCGAGAGGACACAAGAACTCGCAATGAGAAAGATCATCGTATCGTCGGAGGTCTGGGAACTCGGCTTGCGGGCCACAGCTCGGGCCTCCGGCGGCCTCTCGGGACGAGTCGGGCACCCCCGCGGAGAGCGCTCTCGGCGAGGCGCAGCTGCTGGAGAGCGCCCCGAGGCTACAAAACCGCCAGGGGCACGCCGCCAACATCGCAGCAAAGATGGAACCACGAGCGTGCAGCCGATCCTCGTCTGAGGTCTGGGTTAAGATGGGACGGCGAGAGATTGGATGCTTCTGATATCAACGCTTGGGACCTTCTGTGCTTTGCAAGTCGACGTGTTTTGTCAATTCGGGTCCCCGTTTGTGTTTCGCTTTCAAGTGTGGGATCGGCCGTTGCCCCACCTGCCCGTTTGCTGCCCATTTTCACTGCCTTTCGCATGCGCTCGTAGATCTAACAACTTGGTCGATTCACAAGCGAAGCGTGGACAGCGGCTTGGCTCCCCTTTTTCCTTTCTACGGCTCTGGGAGGCCAACTCCGGCTTGCGTGCGTAAGGTGGGCGTGTGCGGCCGTTTGGCGTGCGCAAGAGCATGCGAGGAGTTTTGGGTATGGCGGCAAGAGCGCATTCCGAGTTTCAGGTCTCTCTCTCTATATATATATATAATTATATATACATATATACATATATATGTATATATATATATATATGTATATATATGTATATATATGGTAGTTTGGGGCATGCCTGAACGGCTTGACATAAGGGGCCTCTAAACACAGAGAGAGAGAGAGAGAGATAATGGAACCCAAGACAACGGACAAGCAGAAACGCCCCCCAGCGCCTTTGAGCAGAACACCCTGCGGGCGAGAGAGAGAGAGAGAGAGAGGCGGACGGAGCGCGGCGTGCTCGCGCCAGGCGGCGCGCCGGGCAGGCTCCTCACGCGCCCCGCCGCCGCAGGTGCTCGCCGATGGCCTCGTGGGCCTCGCCGGGGCCTCGCGGCACCTCTGCGTGGCCGCCCGCCGAACGTCCTCGCGCGAGAGGCAGCGTCGGGGAGGGCGGGGGGCGCAAAAACCCAGCTCTCCTCGAGGTCGGCTCCGAGGCTCGAGGTCTTCAGGGAGGTGTGCGCCTGGCTCTCCGGCGGCTCTCCGGCCTCGGGGATGCCTTCTGGCGGCGCCTCGCCTCGCCGAGGGCGTGCCTGGGGGTGCCCGGCTCGCCCCAACGGCGGAAGAGCCAGCCGAGCTACAGTCGAGGCTTTGACCTAAGGAACCCTAAATAGGGAACGAGGCCCCTATTTTCCATAAGTTGAACCTCGATCTCGCATCGAAACCTCAGGGAAATCATCCAGGGCAAGCTGCGAAACACTTAAGGAACGCGGAGCCCCAACGAAAAGGGTTCCTTCTTCAGGGCCCCGACTGTACGACCCGAAGGCCAAGGACACCCTCCCGCGCAGGGAGGCGTTGGGGCGGAAGGTGCGTGCCCGTGTTCGGCCCCTGTGTGCCCTCGCTGGGCTCGGGGGGTCCGCGCTGCGAGAACTCACGAGCGCGGGGGAGAGGCGAGAGCTCTCTCTGGAGGACGGCCGCTGGGGCAGGGGCGGGAGAGCGACAGGGGGGAGAGGCTCAGGGGGGGAAGCAGCGAGCTGCAAGCAGCGGTGCAAAGCCGACGGATCGGTGATGGGCCCCCTGTAGCGAATCCGCATGTTCCCGAGCAGGCTGGGCTATCAGGCCCCTTCTCGGCGAACAATGGTCCCCCCTCCTCAACATTGCCGCTGAGCGAGGCTGGCTCCCCAGGACCTCCTCGCGCCGTGCAAAAAAACGACGGGCGTTTGTTTGCCAACTTTCGCCATCCAGAAGACCCCTGTCGGGCCCCGTGGCCATCAAATCTTGGCTCAGGAGGAGAATCTGGTTCAGGCGCAGGGTCGGGACTTCCCGGGACGGGCGGTTTTTGCCAAGCCATCAAATCTTGGCTCAGGAGGAGAATCTGGTTCAGGCGCAGGGTCGGGACTTCTGGAGACGGGCGGTTTATGCCAACTTGCGTCCTCCAGAAGGGCCCTGTTGGGCCCCGTGGCCATCCTACACTGGCTCAGGAGGAGAAATCTGGTTCAGGGGACAGGATCGGGACTTCTGGGGACGGACGGTTTTTGCCACCGTGCGTCCTCGGGCCCCGTGGCCACCAAACACTGGCTCAGGGGCAGAAGTCTGGTTCAGGGGACAGTGTCGGGACTTCCGGGGAATCCGCATGGACAAGACCAGGGCATCGGATGTCTGGGTCTCTCTCCCTGCGGGAGCACCTGGCGGGGCAGTACCCTCGGTCGCTTGGCCCAGAGAACTCGTTGGACGTCGAGATTGGAAGAGCTTTCTCGGCGCTGTTGGCCTGTGCGCTCCCCTCCCTCCCACCATACTTCGCACGGGCAGCAGGGTCTGCGAATAGTTTAGCCGCGCCCTGGCGCGACCACCTCTGGCTCAACCGGCGGTTGCCCGCCGCCGCGACAAAGACGATGACGATCTACGACGATCTAAGATCTACGGTCCACGACGGCGGCGACGATCGACGACGGCAACCGACGGTCCACGACGACGACCGACGATCGAGGAGAGTGGGGACAATGAGGACCCACGATCGACGCTCCAGGACCGACGAAGTCGCGGACGATCGACGACGATCGGCGGATCACCGGCGATCGACGCGACGGCGACGAGCGGTCCTCGGGGGCCCCGCCGTGCTTGTCCGGGTGGTGCGCCAGCGCCAGCCGCCGGAAGGCCCTCCTGGGCCGCCCCTCCACGCAGCGGCGGCGACCCTCGTCCTCCCTTCGCCGCCGCCGCCTTCTCCTCCTCCATCCTCCTCCTCCCCCCTGATCCTCCTCCCTGCTCCTCCGCCGTGTTCCATCCATCGTCGTCTTCCTCTCTTCCCGCCACCCCTTCCCCCACTCCCCCCTCCCGCTGCCTCATACCTCCTCCCTCCTCCCTCCTCCTCCTCCTCCTCCTCCTCCTCCTCTTCCTCCTCCTCCTCCTCCTCCTCCTCCTCCTCCTACTCCTACTCCTCCTCCTCCTCCTCCTCCTCCTCCTCCTCCTCCTCCTCCTCCTCCTCCTCCTCCTCCTGCCGGGCACAACGCGTCGCCGCGGCAGCCCCGTCGACACGTTGTGCCTTGCAAGCGGACAGTTAGCGTGTCGCTCCGCTCCGCAGGGCGGGAGGATCGAAACGGCTCGGGACGTTGGCGCTCGAGAACCTGTAAGTTTTGGACGCCCGAAATGGGCACGGAAAGAATGGGTACAATGCCCATCAGCAAATGTTGTCCCAAACCAACAGCGGCCGCTGTTGGGCAGGCGGCCTTCTGTCTCAAATGGACACAGGCCGCGGCGACACCGACAGCGAGTCTTGTTCATAATGAGCAGGAACTGCTGTTGGGCATTGTACAGACAATGTTTGTCCGTACCCATTTCGTTCGTGCCAGTAAGTGGATGGCGTGTCGCGCCGAAGCGTGGTGAGCCAGAACCGACGGCGCGACGCGCTGAGCCAACGTTCCTGGCCGCACCCCCCTGCCATAGAAACCTTCTTGATCTGGACCTCGCACTACAGTGGGAGCTCGACCAAAAGAAACCTTTCACACAAATCCCAACCCTGAGGCCCCAGGACGTCCATTGATTGTTGGTGTGGGAGCGTCACGCCTTCCATGGCAACGCCATCGAATCCAAAGAAACCCAGGGCACCCTGGAGGCAAGCAGGCTGCTTCTTGGCATGGTTTCAAGTGCGTGCCCAGCTTCACGAATGTAGCACCGCCCTCCCTCATCGCACGCCGCGCCGCTGGCTCCTGACGTCGTCGGCGCCCGCGGTGCAGGGCAGCCCCAGGGCCTGGAAGTGCCGAGCCTCGGCCGACACTGCTATGGGGTGGCCGGGGGCGGCGAGGAGCGACGGGCAAGGGAACGGCAGAGGCGGAGGAGGAGGAGGACGATGAAGAGGAGGCGGCGGAGCAGGCGGAAGAGGAGGAGGACAAGGGGCGGAGGAGGGGGAGGACGAGGAGACAGGACGAAACGAGCCCAAGGAACCCACCGCTGTCTGGAACGTCCCACAGCATTACATGGGATTCTGGGGGCGGGCAACTTCGACGTCGCTAAATTGTTCCAGCACAAATCTGCAGCTCACACTCCTCAGCTAAGGCACTCCCCTGTCGGCACCCCTGAGGCACGCAGCCTCGAGCGAGGGCCGGCACGAACGGCGCAGGAGACAGCCACGCAAAGGTGTTACCTTTGCTGCTGGCTCTCGCTGGTCGGAGTTTCTCCCCTCCCGCGCCTACGACTCACTGCCCCCCCCCCCCTCCCACGGCCAGGACCTCTACGAGGCAGCACTACAATCGGAATGCTAAGTAACTCAGGCTGCACAGATGACAACATGCTACGCTCACCTGGCACCGCTCTCGCTGCTACCGCTGGGTCGATCAGACCTGGCTGCACCAACGAGGCCAACCTCTCACTCCCTTGCCACATCACTTGCCGTTCGCTGAAAAATCTCTCTCTCTCTCTCTATCCCGTTGTTTCTTTGGCGCCGCTCCGTGGCGCCTCTCCCCCCACCCCGATCTCGAGCACCCTCTGACGCAAGTCCTGGCCATTATCTTCGATCATGTCGCTGGCGTCGAAACGCATGATGATCAGACAGCGCTGGGCGGTCTCGTTCTTCTTGAGAACTTTGAGCCTCACGTACTTGACGAAGCAGCCGATGTGAGCGAGCGGAATATTCGAGATCGCTTTATGCAAATACTCCTCCGCCTCTGCTTCGAACTGCTTCTCCTACTCGGCACCCTCCCCCTCGGCGTGCTGACGCGTCGCGGTGCAGTGGGTCCCCGCCGCGAAGATGTGCAGGTGCGGCGGCCCTCGGCCGCGATGCGTGGCCTGTGCGACGGTTTCGCCCGCCTCGGCCTTCTCAGACAGCTCCTTGCTCTTGGCGTCGTACGTTCTGCCCGCTACTGCCAGCGCTGCTGGGGAGCACGGGAGCGACATTTTGTATGTGATGAACACCGCCGCCGCCAAGTCCACCACGCCGCGCGTGGTCGCGAGCATCAACCCCCCCAAGAGCAAGAGCAGCTCGCCGTCAGCCCCCTCCAAGAGCAAGAGCAGCTCGCCGTGACGATTGCCGTCCCTGCTGCCCTTTGCTGCCCCCGCCGCCGCTTCCCTTCAACATCTTGGGCGGTTGGCCCTGCTCGTCTCCCTCGGGTCTGCGTGCATGTGGCGGATTGAACCACGACGGCATCGAGAGATTGGGCATGGCTGCGCCCACCCGTGGAGGGCTGAATCTCTGGAGGTGGCGGGAGGTGGCGGGCGTTCTCGAAACAGGCTGTAGTTTCCAAGGGGTATGTGGGCACAACTGGCAGCAGATGTTATTCATATCCTCGCCATTGGAATCGTACACTGGGCAGTCATACGTAACTGGAGGCACAAGTGCCGACAGCGAGGTGGGCCGCCTCATTGAACAACTTCCTCTCAGAACCGGTCCAAGAAGATGCCGTGCTGCGGCCACTTGTGTTGATAATAGTTGCCTATATTGTATACGTCGGTTACATGGCCTTAGTACAACTGGTCGGTTGCGTACATGATGATGGGCCATTATGTGGTTCAACAGTGCCTTACGATCCTGACATATTGCATTGCGTGTATTGCCTTTGTCGTTTATGGTCCTGTACCCAGCCTCCCATTCTAATATTTTGATCCTGAACCAACTGGACCACCCACGGGAAAGCCGACGCCGTCGGGACACCCTCCTGAAATTGAGGCTGGCACTCAAGCCTCTCTCGCTGACCTCCGAAGATGTCCATTCCACTGCTCGATCAAACATCCCACCCACCCACCCGCAACTGGGTTTGCAAACCCCATGCGGCGGCGATTGCGATGAGTGCTTGGCGCTGGCTGGTGCACCTCTGCGGCCGCATCAGCCCGCGCATGCGCGCGCGCAGCGGCCAAGTAGTTTGGCGCGACCGACGCGGCCGCGGTTGTGCTGACCGCTCGGCGCATCCAGGCGGGCACTTGAGTGCGAATCGGAGACTTGGGCGGGCGCGGTATCATGGCAACATCGACAATTGAAGGTCAATGATGATGATAGTATATAGCGATGTTGGTGACGATGCTGACAGCGACGACGGCACGGCCAGTGACGGCGCCGATGCCGATCACGCCGGCGACGATGACGGCGTCTTCGCGTCGGTGATGAAGGTTTAGAGCAAAAAACACGAATTGCGTGCGCGGCAGACGCGCGAGAGTGGCTCGCATGGTATTATTCGACACGGACCGTGCCACCTCAGCACGCGCGAAAGGGCGTTCGAACGCTTTCCACATGCGCGCGCGCGAAGCCCGTTTGGTAGAATGTTATGAACAACTATAAAACAAACTATAGTTTTTCTTAAGAATTCGAAATATCACGCGCGCACGCTTTTGTTGAACATCAGTTTTGCGAAACTATGTGTTTTTCTTTGTTTTTGGGACACTCGTTTTTGAATTCCTTCCGGCACCGAGGGTTTTTGAAGGATTTCGGCATGCGCGCGCGACGACGCGCGCGCGTGCACTTCGTCCCGTTTTTTCGCAGAATATTATCGCGACGGCACGCGCGCAAGGGCGCGCAAATGATTTCGACATGCGCGCGCGAAGCCCGTTTGGTAGTATTGCTCTGACAAAAACATATGGTTTTCTCAAGAATTCGCAAGAGCGCGCGCGCATGTTTGTTTTGAAAATCCGTGCTGCGAAACGCTGTGTATTTATATGTTTTTTGAACACTCGATTTTGTCATCCTTCCAAAACCAAAGGTTCTTTCAAGGATTTCGGCATGCACGCGCGACGACACGCTTGTGTGCACATCGTCCTATCTTTTGCAAGGGATTATTGGAAACTTATGGTTTGTGATAAACGAGTGCGCGCGCATAATAATTTTTGCTGAGGATGGCGGGGGGGGAACCGATACCGGCCTGGCTGGGATAGTGCGAATTCACAGGTAAGATGGAAAGTTGGTCAGAATCCTATGTGTTTTGCATCCCGGGAGCTCTTTAACCTCGGGGGGGAGGGTGGTAGAACCTATCTCGTGTTTTTATAGAAAAACAGATCTCTTTTTTAGAAAAGAGAATAAAAGATCTGCTATTTACGTGGTGCAACACATGTGGTGCACTTTATGCAGGGCGATCTATGTGGTGCAACCGATGCGGTGCGATCTATGCTGTGCAAACCATGTCGCGTGGTGCAATATACGCGGTGCAATCTATGTGGTGCAACTTGAGTGGTGCAGACTACGCGGTGCAATCTACATCGTGTAATGTAGGCGGCGATGGGGCGGCGACGGCGACAGCACAGCCGCCAGACCGACACTCAGGCCCAGACGACGGGCGGCGACGAGGCGGCGAAGGGGCGGCGGCTGCGACAACATAGCCGCCAGACCGACAATCAGGCCCAGACGACGGGCGGCGACGAGGCGGCAAAGGGGCGGCGACTGCGACAACATAGCCGCCGAAAAGACATTCGGGCCCAGTTCCTTAGAAAAGACATGAGAACCCCTGAGTGCAAACACTGGTCCCGGGGGAGAAACATAAGCCACCAAACCCGCCCTGCATACCTGTGCCGTTAGGCGCCCAGACTCCAAGTGATCCCTGGTTGTACCGCCTCGCCTCCACCGCGCTAACATACCGCGGCCCACAGGCACCAGAGATCCCCGTGAGCCCAGTGACGACGACAAAATGAACAAACATATGTATATATATGTATATATACATATATATATAGCCAACCGCAACTAAGAATGAACCCAACCAGGGAGACGTCACGGCGTCACGCCGCCAAGACGTCTCGACGCACACAAACACCTAGAACACATGGTGCAATAGAAGGGTGCCTCAAAAACAGACATCGGGAAGCTACATTCTGGGCACTAACCAGAGATGGCGATCAATAGCACTTAACAATAACATGCAACAGCACTGCATATCAGTTGTGGACTCCTCAACCGACAACAGGCCATACAAGCACAGCGCCTAGCCATACAGCATGCAACGTCAACCATATTGAGCAAGAACAGCACTTGATGTTTTACACCAAGGGCGAACACACATGCACCAATAACCCGCATACCATGTACACCACCGGCATACACCAACATACCAATATCAGGCATCAATGACATACATCCGAAACATGCGTCAAACATTCCACGACAACCATTCACCGAGAACAGACATCAAGACCAAACAACAATATCACGCACGGAGAACACACAACAATGACATGCACCAGCAAATACCACCAGCTCACTCCAACACCATGCATCAGTAACAGACGCCTGGAATCCAGACATCCCAACCACACACCGAAAGCAGACAATGCAACCCCGATCACGCATCAAAACCAAACGACATCAACAACATGCATCAACCAAATAACTCAATCTTATACATCGCACACGTTTATGAAGAACAGACACCGAACACATACACCAGTAACCGCTACCAAGCCATGAACCAAACCCAATCGATAACAATAAAAAGCTCCCAGAATATGCATCAATAGCGGAACCAACAACATGAATCAAAACCAAGAACCAATGAACATGATAACAACTATGATACCAAGAACCGGCATTGAAACCAGACATCAACAACATACAGAACTAATGGAACTCTGGACGACGAATCAACGACAGCCATTAAAAACATACGTCTCGACATGCTCAATATCTTTGGCGAGGTTCGCCAAGACAGAAGCGAAACGACCTGAACATTCCGAGCAGTCTGCGCTCCGGGGAGGGACGATGAGTGGGAGCAGGAGAGGAGATGAATAGTGGGAGCAGGATTACGCGGATGATCAGCACCAAGACTATAAGGAAGATGAGAGAGAGAGAGAGTG